TTCACGAAGCGGCGGGGCGCTGAGTGGAAGCTGCTGTCGTAGGCGGAGAAGCGGCCTTTCATCGACGAGGCCAAGCGGCTGCGGGCGCAGCACATGAAGGAGCACCCCGACTACAAGTACCGGCCCCGGCGCAAACCCAAGAACCTGCTGAAGAAGGACAGGTATGTCTTCCCCTTGCCTTACCTGGGCGACGCGGACCCGCTCAAGGCGGCCGGGCTGCCGGTGGGGGCCACGGACGCTCTGCTGAGCTCCCCCGAGAAGGCCAGGGCCTTCCTGCCCCCCGCCTCCGCGCCCTACTCCTTGCTCGACCCCAGCCAGTTCAGCTCCAGCGCCCTCCAGAAGATGACCGAGGTCCCCCACACCTTGGCCACCGGCACCCTGCCCTACGCCTCCACCTTGGGCTACCAGAGCGGGGCCTTCGGGAGCCTCAGCTGCCCCAGCCAGCACACCCACACGCACCCGTCGCCCACCAACCCGGGCTACGTGGTGCCCTGTAACTGTTCCGCTTGGTCGGCCTCCAGTTTGCAACCCCCCGTGGCCTACATACTGTTCCCAGGCATGGCCAAGACTGGAATAGACCCTTATTCTTCAGCGCACGCCACGGCCATGTAACCCCCTCTCCCACCCCTCCCAAACGAGACTCGAATTCGAAGTCACTCCTGGGGCATGTACATAGAAACGGAGCCACCCGCCTGGGAGACGGGGACCGGTGTGGCCGATGGCCGAGGCAGAAAAGACTCGCGACGCAGAGACTGTAAACCCAGCACGGCTGTGGGCTCTCCGCCTGGGAAGGAGAGACTCGGCTAGACACCTGGCAGGACTGTCCGTGTGGCCAATTCCTGTCCTTTCGGACTACCGCCTAGGCGGGCTGGAGTTTGATTTCTGCTCTCACTGTATATGGGTCCTATATACCCCGCGGTCACTTGGACTCGAACTCCCGAAGTCCTGGTATTTATTGATGATGCTGATGGTTCTTTCCTCCTTTTCTGTTTTTTTTGCACATCCAAACGCCAAGAGTAGCGGTGTTATATTAGAGATCTCTATTTTGCCATCCAGCACCACTTAGGTGAAAATTGCTTTTCATGTCAAAGAGGCTCTTAAAAGGGACCGGAATTAGAAAAAAAAAACAAAAACCCGAGAGAGACGCGTTTCAAATTGCGACACGAGATGCCAGAGTTTGCTTAATTGAAACCGGGTAGTCCTTCAATTTGTGTAACCCCGAGCAACTTGGCCCTAAGTTCCTCCTAGAGCGTCAGGTATGAAGTCAGGCGGTGACACTGTGCTAAATAAAAAGACGAACACGACTTAAAAAAAAAAAAATGGTCCTTGAAAAATCTGTTCCCACCCTGTCTCTGAACAATGTACCCAGCAGGATTTGACCTCGCTCACCTGTTCATTTGTTGAACAAAAGGCGTTTTGAATAAAGACAATCTGTCGGGACACAAGGCAGCCTGGTGGTGTGAGTCCAATCCTGCCGAAGCTTTCCCGGGGGGGCAGAAAGGAAAAGAAAAGAAAAGCAAAGCGGAAAAGACCGAGAGCCAAGAGTCTAGTACAGATGCTCTTGGCCAGGGAGAGGCGTTGAGGGCCCGATCCTGGAGGTGGGGAGGGGGGAGAAACTTAGGTAGGCGAGTAATGCTACGCGGGCGAGGGCCCTTATGGAAAATTCAGCGGGGCTACTCACTCGCGTGCGGTTTGAGAAAGGAAAAGAAAAGAAAAGCAAAGCGGAAAAGACCGAGAGCCAAGAGTCTAGTACAGATGCTCTTGGCCAGGGAGAGGCGTTGAGGGCCCGATCCTGGAGGTGGGGAGGGGGGAGAAACTTAGGTAGGCGAGTAATGCTACGCGGGCGAGGGCCCTTATGGAAAATTCAGCGGGGCTACTCACTCGCGTGCGGTTTGGCAGCGGGCAGGGACTGGACCTCGGCTAGTTTTTAGCTCCCCCCCCCTACCCCAGGGTTCAGCTCTTCGCTGGATCGGTGCGTGCCCACGCGAGTGGGAGAAGCGGTTTGCTCAAAGCGCAGCGGGGAGGCCGGCGGGCGAGGCTGGGGTTATCTTCTCGGGTTGATGCCCCCGCGGGACTG